AGACAAGTATAAAGTGGACAGGAACCTTATCCCCTCGATCAGTCCTAGGGGCAGCTCGTCAAATATTTGGAAAGGTGTCTCCGGAGCGTGGGAGTTAATCAGAAAGGGATCTCGGATTCATATCGACAATGGGAACAAGACTCTCTTCTGGACGGACAAGTGGCTTCCAATCGATCAAGACCTATCCTCTTTTGCTTTAACCGAGATCCAGGAAACGGATATAAGACTCAAAGTGGCAGAGTTAGTTACAACAGAAGGGGATTAGAATTGGGATCTCTTTGCACATAAGCTTCCGGTAGAGATGGTAGACATTATCGCAGGCTGCATCCCTCCCTCGCCCCTGAACGGAGATGACAGTGTCATTTGGAGCCCTTCCTCGGATGGGAAATTCTCCGTTAAATCAGCTTACAACTTCATCTCCCTGCAGTCCGGCCACTCTCCCCCAGCCTTGGAACTGGAAAGGCCCAAACAGAATCAGACTCTTCCTTTGGCTCCTACTTGGAAATAAACTGCTAACCAACGACATAAGAACTCGGAGGCATATTGCCTCACCTTCAGTCTGTGCTAGATGCCAGCACCCCGTGGAGGACAGGGACCATATTTTTAGACTTTGCAGCTGGGCCAGGAAGCTCTGGGAGAACCTGATCGATAGCCAAACTCATTCAGCCTTCTTTAGCATGGAGTTTGATGAATGGGTTTTCTCTAACCTTCGTCAAAGTAAGAACAGCCCTCAAGCAGGCTGAGGTACTTCCTTTGGAGTGGTCTGTTGGAGTATTTGGAGGAGCAGGAATGATCTGGTGTTTACTGGGAAAACCACTGACCCCATTAGCACGGCCAGATGCATCCAGAACTAGGTAAGTGCAATCATCACTGCTGACCAAACCTTTATGCTGGCTGGTATTCCCCTCAATCTGAAAGCTGAAGGTTGGGTATCCTGGAACCCCCCTTCTATGGGGTGGATCAAGATTAATTATGATGGTTCCTTCTCTGACTCTAAGGAGAGTATTCGATGTGGAGGAGTTTTACGAAATCCAGCGGGGGATTGGATTTGTGGATTTCAGAGGAACGTGGGATATGGTTTTCCCCTTTCGGCCGAGCTATGGGAAGCTGTTGAAGGTCTCAACTTAGCCTAGGAGAAAGGGTTCCGACAAGTTATCCTTGAAGGGGACTCCACAGAAGCCTCTCAACTCATTTTTTCTAGCCATTTCGTGAGCCACCCCGGCAGCTCTCTGGTTGTCGGAATCAGGAAGCTTATAGACTGTAACTGGATAGTTATACCCCGCGTGAGGGCAATATGGTCGCCGATTGGCTCACGAGTAATCACTTGACTCATGATTTTGTAACTCGTACACTAGAGTCTCCTCCAGAAGGTGTTTCTGCATTGATCTGGAACGACGCTGAGGGAATTGGCTACCCTCGGATGTCCTTTAGTTAGGGCCTGTTTGCTTGTTTCTCTGTTTTTCTTTCCCTTTTATCCAAAAAAAGAGAGGAGAGTCCAATGGTGTGATCGTCGTAAGGAAAGTAGCGAAGGACAACAAGGCTGTAGAACGAACCAATCTAAGGATTTTGGGTCCTAAAAATTTGCGTAAAATCCACCTACTATCCTAGTAAAAATAAACTAAAAATGCATTGAAATTTTGTTCTTCCATGTGAAGATCTAGATGAGAGTTAGCGTATTAGAGAAACTAATACTCTTGTGTATTATTTAATATGATCATATAATATGAGAATATTATAATTATTTATAAAAAATATTAGGAAAAAGTTCTCCAATGCCCCTGTGGTTTGCTTCAGAATCATCTATGTCCCTGTGGTTTTTTTCTTATCACATATGCCCTTGTGCTTTGTAAAAAATAAAAAATCACAGGGGCATGTGTGATAAAAAACATACACTTTTGCAAACCACAGGGACATATGTGATAAGAAAAAAACCACAGGGGCATAGGTGATTCTGGAGTAAACCACAGGAGCATTGGTGAACTTTTTCCAATAAATTAATAATATTATTTTTCTGGTTCCATCACAATACAAACCTCTCTTGAAAAATTCTCCCCAAATCATGATTAATGCTGCTCCAGAGAAAAAATAGATTGCATTTGTTCCTCATTTGCTACAAAGTATTTTCAACTATCCGGATATCAGCAGAAGGATTTCATTCTTAAGATTCGCCTTAGCATATCATTGGTTGATTGATGCATTTCACATTAGTTTCATACATCCTTTTTTTGTCAATGGAAAAAACTAAGCACTCACATGCATCGTAATCTATCATAGAAGCAGTGTTTTAAAACCCCACCCCGGGTCAACCCGGGTCAACCCTGACCCCTCCCCTGTGAGGGTTGGGGTCACAAGTTGGACCCTATATGCACATCGACCCCTCCGACCCCCAAAATTCGGTCGGGTTTTAGTGACTCCCGAGTCAAAGGGGTCAAAGGGGGTCACTGCATGTTTTTTTTCTTAAAAAAAATTCCCTAAAACAATGTCATTTTATTAAAAAAATAAAATAAAAATGCTTACAAACCTAAATCTAATCGTTCTCTTCTCTCCCAGTGACCTAGACGTCTTCAATCTTCACCTCGCTGCCGTGAATCTTCTAGAAAAAGTAAGAATTTTTTCTCATTCAAATGAAATCCTTACAGCTATTGATGGAAAACAAAAACTCATTCTTACTTCCTTTAAATTTTTCTTTGTCAGAGACCTTATCAAAAGAGGCAGAACCGGGTCACCGTAGTGACCCCATTAGAATATGAGTTTTGTACTTTGGTATCTTGATACTTTAATTATGTTGTGTAATATTGACTTGTGGTTGTAATTGGTGAATTATGTTAAGTATATTTCGAATCTTTCATGATTGGTGGTTTGTTTTTTAATATTTTCATATATATATATATATATATAAATATATATAAATATAATCGGGTCAGCGTAGTGACCCCGTAACCCCCCGGTGAACCCGTGACCCCGTGACCTCGGCCGAGTCGATGGGCGGGCCGGATTTTTAAACACTGCATAGAAGTTAAACGCTTGTTGCTATTGGTAGTGTCAAGTAACAAAAATAAACTCTGATTATATAAGCATTACTAGGTTTTGTCAAATGAGCTAGTTTTTGTACATGGTCATCGGTAATGAGAAGTGAAGAATGATTTTTGGTTAGAGGTTACTTTCAAAAACGGCAAAAGTGGATTCCTGGATTAAAGAAGGCATGAGCATGCCTGACCCATTGGGGTGGGCCTAGAAGCATGATTAAGGGGTAGAGGTTTGGTGAGAGAAGACAAATTTCACTCTCACCCTTGTGTTAGAGAAGTAATACACAAATCCATTAATGTGGCCAGTAACCCAACTAATCATAAGTTCAAATCTCATAACGTTTCTTCTTTGACATGAGATAAAATTATATCTTACAATTCAAAATAACATCCTTTTGGGATTAAGAAAAAAATATAGATATTTTAATAAAATTCATGATATAAGAGAAAATTTAAAATTTTAAAATACTTATAATTTTTTTTCTAATGTGTTAGAGAAATAATATAGAAAATCATTAACCTGGCACTTATCGTTTGGTCATAAATTCATAATCCACTTATTGTTTGGTACTAATCATTTCTCAAAATGAAAGCTGTTTGAATTCCAACCATACAACATTGGGTTTTATACTTCTCTTGTTAAAGGATAAATATTGTCTTATGTCATAGAGAGAGAAAAAGATGTGAGACCCACGTGTTAAAAAAAAAATAGCCGAATCAAAGGATCAAAAGGAAAAAAAATTCTTCTCCTTAGGCATGAGAAGTTCATTGCCCTATAAGGCTATAACATGACAACTTGAATTGTAGAATGCTATGGTTATTGTTGCAAACTTGCAATGCTTTACATTCTTGGAACAATAACATGATTAAATACTTTGTTTGGTGAGCCACTCAGGCTAGGCTTTCCGCCTTCCCCATATGTGACATGAAAGTAAAAGTACCGTGGAAAGTTAAATCCTGTTTAGTTTTCCCCTCCTCCCGCAGTATCTCTTCAGTTCGGTAGGACCTGGGAAGTAACATGATAGTCTCTAGATTACTTGTAAATTACGAATATGACGACAATGTTCCATTAATTTTCTGGTTTTTATTATTAGTTCGTGGTCAACAACTTTTTTAAAATACTTTTTCGTGGAAATTTTCTAATGCTGACTGGTAGAGTGAGTAGCTTTCAGTCGAGTGATTTAAGTTCTCTTGCACATTGTCTCAGCCACTCAGCCAGATTGTGGAGAAATTTATCTTCGCAAGGAAACAACTCCAGAAAATCCTAAACAAATATAAGTACAGCCCTTTCTTCTTTGAAAGTAAATTTGAACCTTACACTCATAATAATATTCTCAGCGGCTGAAACCTATTTGATTAAAAATTGATTAAAAACATTTTATATTTAATCTGATGATTGGTATAAGTATGCAGTTCGCCTGTCATGCTGTTATTGGATTTAGTGTAGTACTCAAATAAGTAACTTCCCCCTTTCACCACAAAATTAGTCATCTGGCCAATTGACAGAACAGTGCCCTAGAATTTGAGTCCCACAAACACTAGGTTAAATCTTCAATGGCTCAGATTTGAACATATGTGCTGCCACCATTACACTTGCTACACTCGATCGTTGCATGTAGAGTTCGCCAGCCCGATCGAGGGCTTGCTATAACTTATTCAACCAGTTGCAAGCATCGGCAACGTTGGCTTGGACTGGTCTTGTAGTTAGCGAAACGTTGAAATTGATGATATGATCACCGATTATGCAGCTTCGCGCAGGGAATTGCCTACCATGCTAACGCACCATTATAATGTCATCACCATATAAAATATTTACGCCTAGAGCTATTTCAGAGTTCACGCATGCGAATTGAGGTTCGAGATGGATTATTTTATCGACAATTTGAATAATGAATAATTTCCTGATTTGGCAACACGACCTACATTTCAAACAATTTTCCAATTTGTAAAAAGTTATAATTATTGTAAGTGCCATAGAAGCAACGAGGACTGTAATCCCCCATACGTACTGGGCAGCAGCAAAACCATTCCTCGTGCACATTCACAATTGCACATTTGACAAGAAAAATTCGAATTATAAATTGAATTTAATACAAGAATATACAACTATCCTTAAGAACTAAACAATGAACCAACCGTTACCGATATTAGCTAGCATCTTCGGCAGGAATGATTTCATCAATATCTTTCCTATTAGATGCTGCATCTGTTCTCTCGTCCTCCATGAAGCTTTTTTGTTGCAACTAAACAATGAACCAACCGTTACCGATATTAGCTAGCATCTTCGGCAGGAATGATTTCATCAATATCTTTCCTATTAGATGCTGCATCTGTTCTCTCGTCCTCCATGAAGCTTTTTTGTTGCAACTCATCTTTCAGTCTTTGAATCTCCTGATCCTTATCTTCCAATTTATCTTGCAACATAAGAATCTGCAGCAAAAACCATTGCAGTTGGGTTACTCACGCTACGAACCCACGAGAGAGCCAAAAGACAGTAGAGAAGAAAGAATGAATGCAAATATGTTATCGATGACTGAAACAGAAAAAAAAAAAAAAAAAAAAAAAAAAAAAAAAAAAAACCACTTCTCGTTAAATCCGACTAGCGATTGTGGGGTGGAGAAAATCTTTATACGCAGCCTTACCTTAGCATAATTGCAAAGAGGTTGTTTCCTGGATTCGAACCCATGCATGACCTTTCAATCATGAAGGAACAGTTTTACCACTGCTCCGGTTCGCCCCCTTTTGATCACTGGAACAGAAACGAGGAGAAAATTCTCCTCCAAGAGTTTCCCCCTTTAACAAAAGATTTCCCCTCTTACAAGTGAGTCACTGCTCCAATTTCAATTCTAACAAATATGAATCCCGCTATTCTACCCCTCCTATTGTTTAAGCTAATTCCCTACGCCCAACAACTTTAACTACCCAACCACTTCACTTCAATAACTATACTAACTAACAAGTATCTGGGCCCTATCACCTTACAAATGTGAACACGATTTTAGCATAATAATACTCCAAAGAGGGAACGTCTAGCATAACCTTAAAACAAAAGTAACAATCTTTTATTTCTATTCAAATGTGGGTTTCCGAGAAACAAGACATGTAAACATCCTTTTCAATTTTACACCCAAACTTGGTAAAACATTCAAAATGCATTCCCACAGTGCAAACTACATTTATACAATACGAACACAAGCCTAACACTATCCAAAATTCCAAATATCATTAATAAAGCTGAGGGGCAGAATTGGTTTCAATAACGCTATCCAAAATACAGCCTTTCAGATACAATATTTTCAGCAAGGAAAATTATCTTGGAAAACATTTTCCCAGTGGGATATAATTCTAAAGATTTTAACTTTGCAGACTTTTATATTATAAAACCTGAAGCCTAATTTCTACCAATGAAACATCATAAATTCTTTAAGACATTAACATGGCATAAATAAATTGACAAGCCATCATAATTTATTTTTTATTTTTCACATATTTGTAGGAAATTAGAATTAGAATTAGAATCTTTTCGTTTTATTTCCTTAATTAGTGATTAGATAGGATAGGGTTGATGACTCATTGATGAGTCATTCTTATCTATTTTTTCTCATTTACTCTTGTATATATACCCCTATCAGTGTAAATCAGTGTGTATCAATTCAGAAAAAACCATTTTTTTTATATTTTAACATGGTATCAAGAGCATGTTGGTCCTGAGAAAGCTCAGCCACCACAACCACCATCAAACCGGTGGCACATCGCCGGAAAACTTAGTCTAGCCATTGTTAAAGTTGTCCTCTCTTCCTACAAAGCCCCAAAAGCAAAGTAAGGGGACCAGTCACTCTAGAAGGCCAAAACCGGTTGAATCTCAGTCATTCACCACCGTCAGCCGCCACCGGAAAATATTTCCGGCGACTTTACTGGCCAAAACTTATACCACCGGAATCAGAACAAGCTGATCTATAATTTCCAAGTAGGCCCACCATAGTCTGACAGCCCACGTGCTTCCACGTGCCTAAAACAGCACTGCAAGTCCATCTCACGCTTGCCCACTCACGGCTATTCTTCGCGCGTGTAAGCCACGCGTCGTCGTGATGGTTCATGTTCTAGTCCGTACTAGTGTTGTTCGGTTCGTCTCCTTCTCCTCTATCAGTTCTAGGGTTCAAATCGGTGATTGGAAACATTTTTTTTTCTAGGTAACCTCGTCTTCTCTCATATTAGTGATGGCCAAGTGTGATCCTTGCCATGGAAAACACATGGCAGGTTGTCTGATGTATCATGAAGATATTGTACCTAAAGATATGAATGCTATTGTTGGTTCATTCAGTTTGTGGATGGGTACTCTTCTTGTTTCAAGTGTAGCAATAACTACCAACCACCTACTGTTGTTCCAGGAGGTGACCTTGCCAAGGTGCAAAGGGAAGCTTGCACGATTTCTTCCTCCACCAGCTTTACAACGACATCTATGAGCCCTCAACCCAATGTGCCATCTAGCCTTGTGGCTAAACAAGGTACTGCATTTCATGTTGATGGTACTATTCGATGGATACTTGACCTTGGGGCCTCAGATCACATGACAGGTAATCCAACATTGTTTTGTTCCTATAATCCATGATATGGGAATTCTCAGGTCAAAATAACAGATGAAGTTTTTCTCAAGTTGTAGAGAAAGGGTCAAACTCTTCGAGAAGATTGTGTTAAATTCTATCCTACATGTTCCTAATTTAGCATGCAATCTCATTTTTGTAAGTACGATGACAACAAAGCTTAGTGGTTTTGCAAAATTTTCGGTGCATGGTTGTGTTTTTAAGGAACACGAATCGGAGAGGATGATTGGCAATGCTAAAGAAGAAGGAGGACTCTACATTTTTTAAGGATCTCATCATGTGGAGAATAAAGCTACTTTTGCTGAAAATGATCCTTTCTTTGTTTCCAATAGTGGTGTGATGTCATGTTATGGCACCGTAGGTTAGGGCACCCAAATTTCAATTACCTTCAAAAATTGTTACCAAATATCTTTATCCATAAAAAACCCAGTGTCTTTTCTTGTGACATCTGTCAGTTAGCACACTTTCGCATATCCTATCCTATAAGGAAATATAAAGAATCTTTCCCTTTTACTCTTGTTCATGGTGATATATGCGATCCATCTCTGTAAAAAAATATTCTAGCTTGAGATGGTTCGTAACATTCATTAATGATCGTTCTTGAGTGTGTTGGCTCTATCTTCTCGAAGAAAAGTCGTGATACTGTCCAAGTTTTCAAAAAATTCATGCCATGTTCAAACTCAATTTGGCACCTCCATAAAAATTCTTCGAACAGACAACGGTAAAGAGTATTTCAATTCTATCGTTGGTGAATACTTGTCTCATCAGGCATCCTCCATCAGAGTTCATGTCCTGATACTCCTTAACAGAATGGGGTAGCAGAGAGAAAGAATAGGCACATTCTTGAAGTTGCTCGTGCTCTTATGTTCACCATGAGTGTCCCTAAATATTTGTGGGGGGAAGAAGTCGTTCTAACTGCCACCTACCATATCAACTAAATGTCTTCCCGTGTCCTTCAGTTTCAGTCCCCACTATCATGTCTTTTAAAAAACTATCCATCTCTTAGTTGTATATCTTCTTTTCCTCCAAAATTGTTCGGATGTGTTGTGTTTGTCCATGCTCCATCACACCAACGATCCAAACTTGATCCCAAATCTCACAAATGCGTCTTCATTGGATACTCTCCCACTAAAACGAGATATAAATGTTATTCTCCATCTCTCTAAAAGGTTTTTGTCTCCATGGATGTCACTTTCTTTGAGAGTAAATCTTTTTTTTCAGTCTTTTTTTTAGGGAGAGCTTCTAGATGAAGACCAGTCTTGGGAACCCTCAGTGTTACCTCTTCCCTTATCCATCCCTTCATCACAGGACTCACCACATTTGGAAACAGGGGGAGATGAGCAATTGGAAAAAGGTTGAGACAATAATCAGCAGAAACAATTGTTGGTTTATAGTCAGAGACATCCTCCTCAAAATGTAAATAATCTAGACTCTTTACACTGCCAGGATACCACTTCGGCTTCTAGTTCCAACAATCTAGATTCAACCCGACATGCTTATGAGGATTTTGCATATGCCAATTGCTCTTAGGAAAGGAACCAGGTCTTTTACTTCACATCCTATCTCTCAATATGTCTCACTATCTCCAGGTTTTCATGCCTTCAACATAGTCTTGGATAGTATGAAGATTCCAAAAGATATCCAAGAAGACCTTGATGATCCAAATTGGATGTCGGCTGTCTTTGAAGAAATGGATGCACTTAAAAAAATGGAACTTGGGAGTCTATAGCATTACCCAGGGGAAAGAAAATAGTAGATTGCAAGTGGGTGTTCACAATAAAATTCAATGGAGATAATAGCATCAACAAGTATAAGGCCAGATTGATTGCTAAGGGATTCACTTAGACTCATGGATAAATTATCAGGAGACATTTGCCCCTGTTGCCAAGCTTAACACTATCTGAGTTCTACTATCACTTGCTACCAACTTTGATTGGCCCTTGCAATAGTTAGATGTAAAGAATGCCTTCTTGAATGGTGATTTATATGAAGTTTATATGGATCCATTGCCTAGTTTTGAAAATGGAGACGGTTCAGTATGCAAGTTGAAGAAGTCTCTCTATAGGCTTAAACAATCCCCTAGAGAGTAGTTTGAGAAATTTACTCAAATTGTTAAGGGAGGAGGATTCCTCCAAGCTCAGTCGGTCACACTTTATTTTTTAAACACTCTGACGGTGGTAAAATTGTTATTCTCATTGTTTATGTTGATGACATAATTGTCACAGGAAATGATTGTGAGGAGATAAGCTCTTTGAAGAAGTGTTTAGCTAAACAGTTTGGACTGAAGGATCTTGGATCTCTCAAATATTTCCTTGGCATAGAGGTTGCTCGTATTAAGGCAGAAATTTCCTTAACACAGAATAAATATATTCTAGACCTGTTATAAGAGACAAGAATGCTTGTTGAACCCAATAGTAAATTGGAATCGAAGATGGGAAAGAAGTTGACAGAGAGCAGTACCAGAGGTTGGTGGGAAAGTTGATCTACTTATCTCACACTCGACCTGATATTGCATTTGCAGTTATAGCATGGTTAGTCAATTCATGCATTCTTCTAAGGGAAAACATCCAAGTGCAGTTTATAGAATCCTCAAGTACCTCAAAAACATCACATGTCGAGGATTGTTCTTTAAAAGAGGACACAAGAGGATGATTGAAATATATACAAATGCTGATTGGGCTGGATCTGTATTCTGCATTGGACCGAAGATCCACTTCAGGATATTGTACCTACGTTACCTCTAGGGAAATCTTGTGACCTGAAGAAGTAAGAATCAAACAGTTGTTGCCCAGAGCAGTGCAAAAGCAGAATTTCGGGCCCTAGCACATGGTATTTGTTAAGGAATTTGGTTAAGAAGACTCCTTGAGGAATTGAAGATCTCTTTTTCCCTACCTGTTAGAGTGTATTGTGATAATAAGGTTGCAGTTAGTATTGCTCAAAATCCAGTTCACCATGACAGAACAAAACATGTGGAGATCGCCACTTTATCAAAGAAGAATTAGATGATGGTATATTTCTACCAAAGAGTAGACTGCAGATATCCTCACTAAGGTCCTACACCGACCATCCTTTGAAGACCTGATTGGCAAGTTGGGAATGATCAACATTTATATCCCAACTTGAGGGGGAGTGTAGGAAATTAGGATTAGAATTTTTTCACTTTTATTTCCTATTAATTAGTGATTAGATAGGATAGGGTTGATGACTCATTGCTGAGTCATTCTTATCCATTTTTTCTCATTTACTCTTGTATATATACCTCTATCACTGTAAATCAGTGTTTATCAATCGAAAAAAATAACATTTTTTCATATTTTAACAATATTAATCACATAAAACCATCCTCCTTTAAAATTCAAGGTTTCAGAACTTTTATATTTATATCTGAGAAAATGATTATATTATTTTTGACAATTTTAAAAAAACTTAAACTATTAAAAACTTTCACATCTGCAACAAAAATTGTGTATGGAAGAATTTGACAACAATTTTTCTCATTAAGGATAAATTTTTTAAAAATTAGAACTTTAATTGCATATATGTAAGCAAAAAAAGGAAATTTATATTCTAAGTCATCTAGGGTTTTAACATTTTCACTCATTAGAAATTTATTTCCTCTGTAGTTTGTTTAATTGTTCATCCATATCAGTATACCATATACATTTTTTTAATCAACGTAAGCATTTATCTATTCCATATCAGCGTTAGTGACTGTCATATAAGCCTTTTCACAACACACAAGTTATGTTGAGGTCGGTCCTAAATGGTTCTTTCCTACAACAATACTTATCTACATTTCTCCCAAACAGTGTTTAAAAAGAAACAAATAACTAATAATGGAGAAGTCAACATGCAGTGAAATCATTAAATAAAATTAAAATATGAGAGTAGGGATAAGTAAAAACCATTTCATTGGATCTTTCTGCATCATTCGTCAATCCATCCATATGCTTCTGCAACCCTGTAGTAAATTTGAAGTATTAAGATTGCACAAATTGCTATGCATAGAGAAATAATAATAGATCAACAATTGCATAACTTTCAATCTCCACAAACTCCAATTTTATAGACAAATGGATAAAAAACTCCTCCTAACAAGTATTTAACATGTTAAAACACCCAAAGTTTAGCACATTCACTCATAACAATATCTATAGTATACTATTTAATACTTCAAACATTTAGTTTTCCAGTCCACACAATAATATTATTATCATATACATAAGTATATTTGGAATGAATATTAATACATGATTATAAATGAACTTCTTTAACCTGATAAGGTAACAAAGGAAACTAGCAGTCAATGGTGTAAAGGGTCAAAGGATTAGAATGTCAAAACATAGTTTACCAAAAAAAATGCCAAAACATAATGATATGAAATCATTCAACAATTAACCTTCAAATTGACTTCTGAGTTCTGCATTCTGGTATTTTTGCAATGAAAGTTTCAATGCTAATTCATGCATCTGTGCACCAAGACAAAAAAAAAGGAGCAAAAAGAAGACAATATCAGCATCAATTCATAACAACCAATAAAGACAAATAAATTGGTAATAGTTACTACATGGGTAAAATTACTTCCAGTCACTAAATACCATAAACTTAACATTTCACAAACTTGCTGCATCATATATGTGTATAACTCTCTCTCTCTCTCTGTCTATATATATATATATATATATATATATATATATATATATATATATATATATATATACGAAAAATCCAAAATCCAGTCACTGGACTGTCCAGTGAGTGAATTTTGACTATATTCTCCCGCGAGAATATAGTGCAAAAACATTACAATGGTGTTCTGCAGGTGTTCTCCCGGGAGAACATAGGCAAAAAATTTTGTGCACTATATTCTCGCGGGAGAATATAGTACACTGGACCTAATTTACATCAAGTCACTTGATACTCACTTAACCCATATATATATATATATATATATATATATATATATATATATATATATATATATATATATATATATATATATATATATATATATATATATATATATATATATATATATATTTGTGTAATAACTTGGGGTGGGATGAGGGGAGGAGAAAACCAACTCCCAAATGAGGGGAGGAGAAAACCAACTCCCAAATGAATGAGTTAAAAAAAAGAAAAAATTACAGTTGGAAGCACAGCTAATAAGATAGCGTACCTTGCCCTCAGAAGCTTGATTCCCAATCTCCTCATTTTCCTCCTGCAGGGTTCTACACTTAGCCATCAGCATCTTCCCCATCTTGCTTTGAGGAGTAAAATTTACAGCAGAAATGTTATCTTGCAACTCCTTTACTTTTTTGTCCTTTTCTTCAACTAAATTCTATGATCAGATCAAACTATCGTAAGAAACTCTCAAAGAAGTAATCACCAATGTTAATAATATGTCAATAAAGTACAAAAACAAATGGCTAATATATGTAGGAAATGAATACATGTAACCTATAAATAAACTAAAGAAATCATGTAAAAGAATAAACTATCTTAAGCCTCAAGAAAAAGCAATCAAGACAAATTAACTCTAGGCTATAAGGCATCCATATTAGACATGTCTAAAAACTAAACACGTTTCGGAAGCCTAGTTACGCACCCTCTGGATTCATTACTGAAATATGAAGAGTGAGTGCTAATAATTGCCAGCTTAAAACCCCATTTATACATTTAAAACATCACCCTCGAAGTTATCCCCACTGAATCCATGGTTTGTTTTTGTACCACATACTCAAACTAGAAGGTTATCTACCCATTTTTCCCTTTTATTAAAAAAAAATAAAACGGATTCCATTTCATTTTTGTTACATGCAAAGTAGTAAAGTCTCTTAATAAGTTCTCCCAGCAAACAAAGGAAGGAACTACCATTATGAAATAAGTAGAGCATTGTTTATCATAGAGGATAACAAGATGTTTATTCTTCATTATATCTCCCGTAAAACTATGATGACAACTTGGAATAATATTTTCCTAGTACAACCAGAGTTATGACACATAATCCCCAGTTCCATATCTGTCAGAAGACCAAACTTTATAGTCGGAAAAAGGTTGAATAACAAACCTTTAATCGTGTAAACTCTTCATGAATAGCTGGATCTAGTAACAACCTCCTTGCCTGCAAATTAAATAGCAAAGAAAAAATAGGGCACTACCATGTTGGAGAGTGCTAAACAAAAAGCAAAAAAAATAAAAAAAGAATTCCACAACATACAGCCAAAATGCATAGCAGGATTAACTTTAAAGTTTCAAGCAATACACTTGAGCAAATAAAGATATAAACAAGGATACCACAATCATAAAAACAGCATTGACAATTAAATTGTAAAAGTACAGCAAAGTTTCCTCTATCAAATTCAATGTAGTATATTAATCCCGCATTGTGACAGCTATTGAATTTAGTACGTTAGTAAAGAAGCAATATCCTAGAAGGATCTATCCCTAAAGTCAGTATCATGGTTGTTACAATTCTATTAAACAAATTAAATTAGAAAGAAGCACACAGGCATTTTGTGATTTTTCTACAGCCCAACCCCTTTTTAGTATGTATACAAGATCAAATAAGTGGACAGTCAAGACCCACCAAAAAAAGTGAACAGTTTAGAGATAAAATTGGCCTCCTGCATTTTATAGCATTGTTCGACAGAGAAAGAAAAAACAAAATAAGGAGCAGGGAAAATTTATCATTTCAACCTTACAGCTTTTTCTATGTAATACAAAGGACTGTAAACAACCAGATTGCCGAAGCATATAATAGCAAGAACCAAATGACCCAAAAGACAAGAGGAAAATACAAAATAAAGGAGTATAGACAGAATTACAACCAAGGAACTTTGCACTCTTTATTTACTACAGAACATAATAAAGATCAACTAAAGGTGGATTTCTTGAGGTACAGTGTCTCTATTTTCAGGAAGTAAAAATACAACTCTTTACAAATATAAATTGAAATTTAAAAAAAAATCAACAAGGTTATAAATTTTTTGCAAACAAACAAATAATGCAGTTCATCGTCCATGCGGTAAACTTGATATCTCAATTAAGCACTTAATAACATAGTGCATAAATTTCTGCTAAACTTACATAAAATTCAATTTAAAAACTGAAATACAAGCAAGGAATCAGTCATAAACAATATTGTTGAAATTCTAAGGATTTAGGTAGGGATGGAAGAAATGAGTGAAAAAAGACTGCATAATGTGATACAAGCTACAAATATACTAATCCCTATATATAAAAATATTATACTCCAAATCCTAATTAAATAAGGAAATAAATCATGAAATATAAAAAACATAGAAACTATTCCTAGGAGATCATATAAGATACAATGATACCATCAAGATATGATGAGATATTTTTCATATATTCCAAAACTCCTCTTCCAGCTAAAGCTTACTAAACTTTAAGGTTGTTACAAATGATTCTTAAAAAATAAAAATAACCAAACAACATAATCTGGGCTCCACAAAACATGACTAGAAAGGCAACTCAAGGATTAGAGAGATGAACATTGACAGAAATTCGGCAAGATGGATGGAATAATCATCAACTTGAAGAGCTAGTTGCAAAGTTGCATGGCAAGGAAGAAGAAACTTCGCTAGAATGATCATCAACAGAAATTTCTTAGCAAGAAAGTATACATAACAAGAAATAAAACTTCTCCAAATTCATCAAGAACAACTTTTGGAAGCTTCAAACCACAAGAAAACTTAGGAGACCCAAAAAGAAATTGAAATTGAGGCTGGTGTGCAACACAACCATGTAGAATTCATCGTTAGCATGACTCATCAGTGAGATATGAGAAATCACCATCAGTATGATTCACAGTGGGAGACTAGTATGAATCATGGCCAATTAATCATTAATTTATCGCCATATGATGAATTGGTAAGAAAAACAAAGTTACTGGAAAAGTCGTTGGATGGCGAGATGAGGTTGGTTCGGCCAAAAAACACCAAGAATGGGTCGATCTAGAGGAGAGTCCAATGGTGTGATCGTTGTATGGAAACTCGTCAGATAGCGAAGGACAAGAAGGCTGTAGAACGAACCAATTTAAAGATTTTGGAGAACATGGAATGAGAAAAGTGCACTAACTAAGAGAGAAATAGCATTGACAGTAGTCCAATGGTGAGATAGGGAAACTATGCCGAAAGAGAAACAGGACAAGAGAGAGAGAACTATTTTTAAGAGAGAAAATAATCATGAAAATAAAGAAGAGCTCTAAATTTAGGGAACTCAGCAGCACAGTAATGACAGGGAAGGTTACAGAGAATGGCACCGCTCAGATACCATGTTGAAATTGTAGGGATCTAGGTAGGAGCCAAAGAAAAGAGAGAATGAAGACCAAATAATATGACATGGTATTGATTTGATGTGTTATGATGTGAAACAAGTTACAAAGCACCAATCCCTACCTACACTAATATTGAACTCCAAATCCTAATTAAATAAAGAAATAAATCATGAAATATAAAGAAAAATGAAAATTATCCCCAAGAAATCATGTAAGATACTCTAATGTATTCTAAGATATCAAGATGTTATGAGATATTTTTAATATAGTCTTACAAATATTTATAGGGAAATTATACTCTCATGTTGCATGAGATTTATCTCTCATGTTATACTCAAATAAGAAGATGTGCCTCCCTTTTTTCTTTTTTCTTTTTTCTTTTTTCTTTTTAAAAAAAAAATTGGTGGGTCCAACTTTGTTTGTCTCACAACATAAGATAAATTCTCTCTTACTACATGAGAGAAGTAAAGCCCATATTTAAATGGCTCAAAGTTGGAAAACTATAGTGGCCTTCTGAAATTAATGCATGGAGAAGAATGAAGAATCATTGGTCAACAAATTTATTCCAAGAGATACATGTAAACACTCAAATGTACACAGTACCTGCATTGATGCCGGCTTGAGCTGAGCTTTCAGGTCCCGTACAGCAGACTGGAAAAATTTAGACATCAATATAAACAATATAAAAAGAAAACTAAAAACAATAATAATTAAAGGGTTTAGTGTTTATCCTTTTAAAGGACATGGAATTATGTCATTTTAAATGAGAGAAAGACACAAGCAATAGAAATCATAGGAGAGAAAGTGGATGATTTCTTTTTAAATTTTAAATTTTAAATAAAAAAATACTAAGTTGTGTCTTTCTCTCTCTTAAAATGACACAACTATATGTCATTTAAAAGAACAAACATTTTTCCCATAAATAAAAGATCAAACTATAAACCATTAAGTATGTAAAATGCAAGTAGCATTGAACTATCTGATCAAGATAAGATTTGTAACAATCATATGACAAGGTTAAAATGGTCAGAATGGATCAGTTTCAAGCTTATCTTGACTTTTTCTTTAACTATAAGGTTTGTACGTTACGTTATCAAGTCCCGCTTGTTATATTCTTCATTATTTGCTGACTATGTTGTAAACACACCTAAATTGTGGATTAATTTAATAATAAAAAATATTATTAATTTAATATTAAATTAATTAATTATTAATGTAATCACAATAATACTATTAATTATAATTAATTACTATATAATTAATAGTTAAAAAAATTATTAATAATTTTGATGTTATTATTTTTATAACAATAAATTAAACTAATAGTTTCAATTAAATTAAATTAAAAAGTATAATCCCTCACAATCCGCATAGAATTAAAATATATAAAATGTATTAAATTAAATACTATTAAATTAATTATTTTAAACTAAAATTAATTTATATATTATATTAAAAATATTTTTTAAACTAATTATAATACATGGATTATTTTTTGTCCATGTGATTAATTATCACAGAATTTTGTCCTCCGGCAATATTGAGGACTCGGTGCTACACCCATTTAAATTATAATGCATGGATTATTTTTTTCATTTGATCCGTCTTGTGTAGCACTAGAAAACAATAAATGGTGTTAACTGAGTCCACGTGTTATGATTTAAGTGGCTATAGCATTGAGTTCAATACTACAAGAGTACTAAAAGCTGAATGAAACCAAACCAGAGCTCAAGGGCCTTGATTGTGTTCTGTTTTTTTATTCTTAAAATTGTTTTGTAGAATAATTAAAGAAATAGGTGTTTTCTGTATTTTTTGTGTTTTGAAAGTTAAAAGTCAAAACACAAAACAAAAACAACTTAGACATGTTCTCTAAATTTGATTCTATAAACTAAAATATATAACTTTTATAACTATTTTTACAAAACAGGCCTTATTAAACAGGTTTTTTGTTTTTTTGTTCTGAAAATCAAAAAACTGTTTTCAGACACAATTCAAACAGGCCCCAAAATTTCTACAGAAAAAATCAATGTTGAACAGTGCAAATGCTTTCTAACTGCCAACAAGGTCAATGAGAGATATAGAACCATTTATGATTTAAGATTATACAAAGCTTTACAAAAACTTCAGTTAAAGAAGCATTGAAGATCTAAAGCAAAATATTGTAAAAATAAACTTTTTCTGGGATAAAAAAACATTGTATAGATAGTTATTTGATGTTGTAAGTGCGTGTTTTGGACTTTGGATAAGCTTATTTTAGGGTCAAAAAAGCATTTTCTTGGTAGCTTCCTAAGAGAATGATAGGAACCCAATAGGGAAGGCTTATTGTAGGAACAGGTGTAGTGGATCACTTGCCCTTAAGAATGCTGAGTCAGCAAAGAATATTCCTTGGTTTGTTATGAGTAAATCAGTTGAGATTTGGAAGGAGGGTTGGAATCAACATAGATGGTGCTGGAGTAGTTAAATAAGGGAAAGGAGGAGCAATAGAGGTATCTTGGATATATTTTGGAATTGGGACCCTTGGGAGAGTGTGAGGCCTCTCGAATTGTCTCACGTTATCATTTCCTTTTCTGCATTGTATTTCGTTTTCCAGTGCACTTGTTAATTTTCCTTTCCCTGTAATTGTTGTCACTGTTTCACTGTCATTTAGATTGTAATGTCTCTTTGAAATTCCATGAATATATAAAAATCTAGTTTACCAGGCCAAAATTCGCTGTTCCCTGTTGTTGGTTCTGTCTTTGTGTTGGAGGTCTCTATCAGAGAATTTTTAGGTTAAAAAAAAAAGCGATTATTTCCCAAAATTGAACTGTAAACAAACATGTAGTTATTTATTCTGTGTATATGAGAGAGTGAGACAGAAAGACCAACCACACTCCAGATTTCTTGTTATTCTGTTCATGATATATTTTATCTAATGGGGAAAAAGGGATATACTCTGGTGTTCTAGGTAGATGCAAAATAAAAAAATAACTACGTAATATAACAAATACACATGTTATAAAGAACAAGAACTTTATTTTCAGAATACTACATACCTTCAACTCTGCTATCTCTTGTTCACGTTTCGCAAACGTTACAATGAATGCGGCTTCCTTTTTCTTTGCCTTTTCGAGCTGATAACCAATATACAAGTGAAAGGGATCAGTGAAATATGATCAATGTATAATGAATCATTTTGAAAATGGAAGATTAGATTCTGAACCTGCTCTCTTAAAGACTCTTCAGATGATTTCAGAGCTTGAAGATAATTAATCACAAATTTGGGTGCTAGAAGGTAAAAAGAGAAAATAATTGCTCAGTTATATAATATATACTTAAAACATAGAAAGTACCAGTAAACAGAACTAGATCTTGACTAATTAATACATATGTCACTTGCAAAAAAACAAAAAACAAATATAAACTAACCTGCAGTGGTCCCAGAAGGTATGAAAGGTTCATGTTGAAATGAAGAGTGCCATTTCTGAATTTCAGATTTTGCAGCCTCAAGTTCATTCTGGAATATGTAACAATCCGAGCTAACATTATTAGGAAAGGAAAAGGTACAACTTAACCTAGACTATCTGACAAGAACTGAAAATTAGGATTGAAAATAGGAGGAGACCAAACTCCTTCCTTACAAGCAGAGGTAGCCCTCTGTTAAAACTAAAATGCAGAAGGAAAAAACAAGAAGATAACCATGGAGATTCTGCAGTTGAACAAATACACAACCCACCCAAACCTGTCCTCCTCACTCAATTCTTGCCTGCCTTCTCTCTCCTCCTTCCCCCTCTATATTTTTACCCCACAATTCTAGTATCATACCAGATTCTATTCTCCACTTAACATGTGAAAGCTGTCTCAATTGTTACAGCCTTTCCACTCTTTTCCAACAAACTCTTCCCTTGGTACCCTTCACAGTAGTGAGCAATTTCACATTTTCTCCAATTTCTCTCTAGCCTCTCCTTCATACACATGCAAGCCACCACTTCCATTGAGCACCTATTGCTCAGCCCATCTTTCTTTCTTTTTTCTAGCATAAACATGTCCTACAGGTCTATCACCATCATATGTTGAACTTTAGCAGTAAGGAAAAAAAAGAAAGAAAACACCCAACCATAGTTGTCAGAATCCCGATTTCGATCATAGGATCCTACAATTTTTTGTCCAAAAACGACCGAAATCGCGAGTAGAATCCTTATGGAGAAGGATCGTGTGTTATCGTAGAGGAAGATCCTAAAATAGGTACAATCGCAGGATCTCACCATTTCAACGTTTCAAAAAAAACCCGTATCCAAATTCATTTAACCCACGATCCGAAATCACTAACACTTGGTTGGGCCAATTCCTATGGATGATCTGGAGTTGGAGTTACCGAATTTTGACAAAGAACTTGCTGATGATGGAGAAAATGCCATAGAAGATGATGATTATGATTTAAATGATTTGATTTGAACACCTTGGATTAATTTTGGGGTTTTGTTAGAATATGACTAGAATTATTTGAATTTGGTAATGCTTTGAATTGTCTTTAACTCTTTTTGGATTTTGTTGCATAGTAGTTAATTGCGCCGCAATAGCGCCGCGAGCCGCGCCGTATGGACTTTGCGGTGCCTCGCCACAAGAAACCGCGCTGCACCGAAACGCAATAGCGGCCATTGCGATCGCATTTGCAGCCATATTGCTGCCATAAGGCAAAATGTCAATTTTGTCCTAAATTTAAATGTGTAACAGAAAAAATTTAAGGGTTTTTTAGTCTATCCGCGTCTCTCTCTGTCACTTTTGCTATCTCTGCTTTTAAAAAATGTTTCTTTTTGTCATTATTTCTGTCATATATCTATTCCGCTATTTTCACAATCGCAACCCACTATAACGCTATAGCGTTTTTCGGGGTTGGCCGCAACATGCCGCAATCCGCATTTGATAACTATTTTGTTGTCTTTTATATTTGCTATCTTTTATGGATGAAGTTATGATTTAAATGTTATTTTATATGTATAAATATTATTTTTTATGACTAAAATTAGGAAGGTAGGATCTTACGATCCATCCGGATCCCACGATTTAAGATCTCAATCTTGACGACTATGCACTCAACTGCAACAGCTTAGGCTCAGCTATGGGAATTCTCTCTAACTTATGAAGGATGCATGAGCACTCTATCCCAAATCATTCATAGTGTAAACATAAAAATAAAATAAACAAGTCTTTTCACTGTGAGCCACGCATGAATCCAACCATTAAAATCATATGAATAATAACTACAGTTCAATTCCCACAATAACAGAAGTTCAAATACTTTCCACACAACATCAATAGTTAAAGGGAAAACGTACTTGACATGTGGCAAGCATATCCTTACTGTTCTGAAGACTGCCATAAACAAAATCCCGGAAAAATTTTAGGCTCAAACAGTTAGCTGCAATCATAAGAGAGTGCAATAATTATATTTTTCACACCATCTATACTGAGAAGTACCTCTCGCGAAGAGACAAGATCATTCCGGTTGTGACACCAGAAGCAGCTTCTTCAGCTTTTGATTTAGCCTTAATCAGAAACAGCACAAATTGAGGTTTAGATTATGAGAAACTATAAATCATTGATTAACCGCAATATTTGATATAGCAAGTATTAAAGATTGATTAACGATTGCCTTCTTGTGTCGGAAAGGATCGTTGTCGTAATCTTCTTCGTCATAGTCGGGAGACGATCTCTTATTCCTTCTAGCATCAATTTCTGAAGAATGAAACAATCAGAATATATGGAACAATAGCATGTGCGTTTGAAAATTCAAAGAAACCAAAACCTGAATGCGTTCCGCCAAATCCGCCTCCAAAATCAAAGTCCTGCATTTGAGAAAAAAGTGAAATAATAAGCAAAGTACGCATGAGAATGCAAATGGCGAGGGATGATAATGTTAGGAATTACATCGTCGAAATGAGTAGGGGAAGCCATCGACTTCAAAAACCCTAGAAAATCGAGAGCTAGTACAAGGAATTAACGCTCGGAGTGCGAAATATGTTGATTTTCTAAATTCCAATGCACCCTCCCTTCACTGTTTCTTGAATTTATGATAATGTGAATTAACGAGCATTCCTGTAATAGGTCTTTCGCAGGTTATATTTAGTGTAAAATCTTTATTATTGATTTATGTGAATCTAATTATTATAATTTATTAAGATTTAATAATTAATTAGTAAATATGATGTAATAAATTATAATCGTTATATTTACGAAAATTAATTATTAAGATTTGATAATCAGAAAAAAAATCAACTATTAAGATTTGATAATAGAAGTAATAAAAAAATAGTAAATATAATATTTTCTAACAAAATAATGGAATATCTAATATATTTTAACAAAATCTATGGAAAAACGAACAAACTAATTTGTTTTTTTTAATCCCAAAAATGCAAATTTTAAATAAAATACCAATTTAATATAGTCTCTCCAAAAAAGAATCAATCATGATTTAACCATAGCTAATTGTGTAAGCACGAGAGTGTGCAGGACCCTCGTGAAATTAGTCATAGAGCAAGGGGTATATTGGATTAGGATTTTAAAAGATTTTTTTGAAATAAAAAATTCTACAGATTTTAAAAGATATTTTAAATTTGGAGAGACTTTATAGACTTTTTTAAAAGACTTTTTTTACAATCAAATTTCATAAGATTAAATTTTAAAGGATTTTAATAGAATTCATAAGATTTGAAATGACAATATGGATTTATAAGATTTTAAAAAACTATATGAATTTTTAGCAAATATTCAAAATTAAAAGAGTCAATAAAAACAAATAACAAAAAAATCAATGATATTAATAAAAAAAAGTAAACTTAACAACGGGTTAAAAATTATCTCAAAAATTACTAAGCAACAACTCTCCACATATCAATAAAATCTAATATAATTTTCTCAATGAGTTTGAGTTTGAGTTTGAGTTGCAAAAATAATAACCATATATCAACGGTTAACTTCCAAGCTAAATATTAATTAATGAGTTTGATTTGTGAAAATAATAACCATTGATTGACGGAAAACAACGGTTAAAATATCGTTGTAAAAAAAAATAGGTTGTAAGTATAATATTCCCCATAAAAAAATAACAAAGAAATGCAATGAAATTAATAAAAAAAAAGTAAAACTTAATATAATTTTTTCAATCAGTAAAACATAATATAATTTTTAACAAACATTCAAAACTACTAAACAACAGTTTTTCACATATTTAATGGGTTAAAAATTATCTTCTTCATTTGGTATCAGAGTTATGTATATATGATTATAAGACCCAATTTTTTAATTATAAAAATAATTCTAAATTTGTATATAGAACCTAAAGTTCATGATAAAATTTCGTTTGAAATTTTTTGCAATTGATCTTGAAAACCTTGGGGTTTTTGTTTTACGTGATGAGAGTTTTCTAACCATATATCATATGCATATTTTCATTGAATATTCTAAGAAAATTTTGGGTTTAATTACATGAAAGTTTAGAAAATTTCTCAAATTTTGCTCAGTCGATACATTAAAACCTTAAATTGCTTTGAGGCTTTTGAGAAACAAGTTTTTAGTTTTCTATTGACACAAAAATTATTTGAAATCATTTCTTATAGTGAAAGAATTTTGTTCATGAATGTATTGTTACGAAATATAGGGTTCATATTATGAAAGTTTCAATCTTTCTTTGAATTGATATTGCTTCATTGATGTAAAACGAAAATTGGTTTGAAGGTTTTAGTTTTCCTATTATTTTTCACTGTTTTATATTGTTTTTAATACAAAAATCACACGTTTTTGTGCAAGAAAAATCACGACCCATAGCTTGAAAAATCACTTTTTAAACTTCTAAAATTTCTCAAAAATATGTTATTTTTGAAATAGATTATATTAAAATCTCGCTGATTTGTTGTTTTTGGGTTGTTTTGTGATGAAAATCACTCAAAAATATGTTTTTTTTTTTAGTTTTGACGAAGCTCCATGGCGGAACCCAATTTCGAGCAGTCAACCTGCCAAAGGAAGAAGAAAACGTTGCAACAGAAGAATCTCAGGAAATCCTAGGGGTTGAGGTGAGATTGTGAGAGAGACATCCTATTTATATTTTTCACTAAAAAGTCTTACGAAATCCACACCAATAGAAAATTCATTAAAATCGTTGGATTTTTGAATACCACGATATTGTAATTCCATTGTTTAAAATCCTGATTGAATACCAACGAATTTGGACGGATTTTAAAATAATTCTTTAAAATCCTAATCGAATACCACGTGACTTTTTTTCAATTCATTAAAATCCTAATCGAATACTAACGGATTTTTTTGTCCAAAAATAATCCATTAAAATCTTTTGAAATCTCAATCCAATACACCTCCTAAAATCTAAAATTTATGGGAATCAACTAATTTTATGTAAGAGGATATAATCATAAAGGGTGAATCAAATTATGATAAAATATGAGAGAGAAAAAATATTGAGACGAAAAATTATAAAATTATCACCGTTAATTTATTCATAGATAATATAAATTCTATTACATAATATGATCATACTAAATAATATATGAGATGATTGATTTTCAAAATATGTTCAAAATAAATCTATTACCTAATAACCTTCAAACACATTTACAAAAAAAAAAAAAAAACCTTCAAACACATGCAAGGCATTATATTGATATTATATTTGAAAATTATATTATATAAAAGATGAGTAAATTAATTTATTTTATTTTTTTATACAAGAGTAAATTAATTTAACTTATCTATTGAGCTCCATTTTTTTTTTAAGGTAACCATTGCCGTTTTAGGCTCGAACAAATTGGCTTTGGGTCAACCCCAGTTTGGCTCGAGTTATACTTGATCAACCTTATTTAGCCTACAAAGTCATAAATATTTTTATTTTATTTTTTTTAATCAATTACAATATATCAAGCATGAAAATAAATTGGGTTAATATCGTTTGCTTCTCCTCGCTTTAATAAAATATAAAAGGCATCATTATTCATTCACTCTTTATCGCTTTCACCTCCGCTATCATTATTGTATGAGATTTTTTGTTGGTGTAAATGTGTAATATGTGGAAGAGATATTTTTAAATATCTATGTTTTATGAGTTCAGAGAGGGAGGAAAAATTATGTTTTATGAACCATAATAATAACTTTTAAAATTTTAAATATTCAATTTTCATAAACTATTTCAACCAAGTTTGAAGAATAATTATTCACTAAAATTGACATTCCAAAAGAACCACCATAGGTGGTCCTGATTATTATTTTTCAAAAGTTGATGAAGGGTATTTTAGAAGATATACAAGATTCCTATATATTTCCCCTTGAAAGCAAATACATAATTATAACATCCACGGAAAATTTAAAAATACAAAGTAATGCGTGTTTAGATCATCCTATTTTATTCTCAAAAACAAAATTTTAACTAAAACTATTTCCTAAATATTTTAGCATAAGTTTTACTTAAAAAATTAAGAGTTTTGTTTGGTTCAAGATAATGATTTATGTTCTATTTTTTTTATTAATACTCATAAAAATGTCAAAATAACTTTTTTTAAATAAAAAAACAATTTTTTTAAAAATAAAAATTCATCCAAACGAGCTCTTAACAGTGTTTCTTTTTGTGGAGATACTTCTTTGGTAAAAATTCAAAGAAGAATATTAATGAACAGGGTAATATTTTTTCAAAGTTCTGTCGGGCCATGCAAACAACATCTTATAGCTTGATTGGTCTTCCAGTATTATTGATTACAATGTGTTTTTTTTTTTTTTTTGAAAAATATTGATTAAAACATAACTGAGGAAGCATAAGTCAACCAGAAATTCACATCTATGTAAATTGTTCAGCCGGTAAATTCCAATTGAGCTTTCAATCCTCAAGGCTTCGCCAAAATGTACTGTGACAACTGACAAGTAAACATTTCAAACTATATGCATACTTTACATAATAATTAGTGGAAGTAAATTTATTTATAGGAAACTCGGTCCTTATCTAATGGGAGAATGGGATGAAGGAACTTTTTCTTTTGTTGTGGCCAATTGCAAGCCTGGCCAAGATACATCATGTAAAATGTTTAGGGTTAGTGCACTACTGCCTTTTATATTTCTGGGTCACCCCTATGGCCTGAGCGATTGGCCCTTGATTCCTCGGTTTTGGAATGAGTCCTGGGCCTTCCCTAACCATAACCATTATAAAGGGCCTTTTGTAGTTCCAAAAGAAGAAGTGGGCATTTTACATGATGTGTATTGGCCAGGCTTGCAATTGGACACAACAAAAGAAAAAGCTCCTTTATCCCATTTTCCCATTAGATAAGGACTGAACTTCCTATAAAAATAAAAAATGGATAATACAACTCTTATGTTATTGCATATAACAATCTTTTGCCATACATCCATCAAGAAATGCGCAATTTAAAAAAAAAATATTAAAATAGTGGACTCCATCATTGAATATGTCTTTGCATGAAAGCAAACTTGTCTCCAATAAAATGAAAAAAGTAAACCCAAATTTTTTTACTTCCACCAATTATTATGCAAAGTATGCATATAATTTGAACTGCTTAAAAGTATTGATTAAAATTCAGAAGATAAAGTTCCGTTTTTTTATTTTTTATTTTTTATTTTTTATTTTATTTTGGAGCTTTGAAAACTACAGCGAAGGAGAAAAAAAAAACATATATATAGTATTAAATTTATTCAAATCGGTTTAATTTGATTTGAGCGTTACATCTTAAATTGATAATGAAAGAGTAAAGATTTGCTCGCAAAAATTTAGATTTTATTGAATTATAAATTTTTTTGCCAATCCTACATAGGAAAAGCAACAAATATTTTTTAGTTTTAACTCTACGATATAGAAGAAATAGAAAAGGGTCATATAAAATTATTTTAAAATTAAAACGAATCAGTACACCTGGTCTACTAATCTATTTGAATTATCAACTAATTCCTAAAATTTTGGGAGGGTTGAGGATTGTAATTCTTTCTACTTCTATGGATATAATGACAGATCGAGAGGCTATATCTAGATAACTAAATTATCTATTCTATTTTTT